TGCTTTCGCAATTTTCTTAGTTTTGCATTATTTTTGGTGCGGTTTTATGGAAATCTTTATTTTAAACTGCAGTATTGCAGTTTAGTAACACTAAGTGGTTTGTGGTTTTCATAAATTTTGGATCACAGTAATCGGTAAAAAAGAGATTGCAGCCATCTGCGCTTTCCAGTTGCGACAGTTATTACTTGGATCCTGACGCTTCCGATGACTTTTGATCTCTTGTTTATGTTTTGCAAGAGACCATTGTTGTGCAAGCAAGCTTTGCTGTTTGTAATTTCCGCTTTTTCCAGTTAATAATTGGTATGATAAACCATTTTATCCAATGATACGTCGACTTGTTGACTTTCCGGACTGGGAATCTTTAGCTCAGACTTCCTACAGTATTTGCCGTGGCCTTGTGCGGGACAATGTCTGCCGAGCAAGATGAAGTGGTTACGAGGATGGTCAGGAAGAGATGATATTACTCAAAGGAGAGATTGGAAGCTTGGCAACATTTCTTCTGGGAGCAAGAACTTGCGTCGGGAGAGTTATAACCCCTCAACAATCGTTTGCTTTACTGAACACTTCATGGGGCTGTTTACATTGTCTTCAGGTTATTCAAAATTCTTCTTGGAAAGATTTTAAATGAAATTTAAGGTTGATTCAGTCGAATTGGGAATAAAATAGGTGTTCCAAGCTCGTATTCGGAATATATGAGCTTGAAAACTATCATCTTGGCAAATTTTCACTAAAAAAAACTCACGCAAAGCTTGCGTTGTGTAACATTCGAGTGGCTTCCAGTGCTGAAGTCATAAACATCGATGTTTTTCAATTTGGTAACTCAGCAGTATTTGTGTGGGCATGAGTGCATTTGTATTAGTTCCACAGCAGCATAACAAAGTCAGTCCCATGGACGTGTGTCAATTATTGATCTTTTATGGAGTCATGGAAGTCGTCGATACTCGTCAGAGTACAGGATGATAAGATCAGTTATGAGTGCGATGATCATATGTTGATTAACATTAACCTACACTTTTATCGAACTAAATAAAGTCGTATTTCTAATGGAATGGCGAACTAGTAGTAATGATGGCGGCACCATAGCACATTTGTAACTATGGTTTCGGTATTTTGGTAAATTTCCATGCAGTATTGCGGTTTTTTACATTTTTTTTAATGCTATTTTGCGGTTTTTGGACCCCCCTTGCGTCCCCCCTACTCGAGCAATTACAGTGAGACTACCTGTACTGGGCCCCCTAGAAGAAAACTAACCAATCAAAACGTGCTTTTAAATCGACGATATTTGACTCCCTAAACAACTTTTCATAGAACACTCAAATTCCTATCTGTTCTTCGCGTACGTACGTACTGCCTAATAC